TTTCTTTTCATTGCCATTTGCATGGAGTATCTTTTTCCATCCCTTCACTTTCAGTTTGTGAGTGTCTTCAGGCCTGAAGTGTGTCTCTTGTATGCAGCATATATATGGGTCTTTTTTTTTTTTTTATCAATTCAGCCACCCTATGTCTTTTGATTGGAGCATTTAGTCCATTGACATTCAAAGTAGCTATGGGTAAGTATGTACTTATTGCCATTTTGTTACTTTTTTTCTGGGTGTTTTGGTAGTTCTCTGTTCCTTTCTTCCTCTCTTGCTCTCTTCCCTTGTGATTTGATGGTCTTCTTTAGTATTATGTTTGTGTTCCTTTCTCTTAATGTTTTGTGTATTTATTATAGGTTTCTGGTTTCTGATTACCATGAGGTTCATATATAATAACTTATGTAAATAGTAATCTATATAAAGTTGATGGTCTGTTAATTTTGACCTCTTACTAAAAGCCCTACTCTTTTACTCCCCTCCTCCATTTTATGTTTTTGATACCGTATTTAACCTTTTTTCTGTGTGTGTATATATCCCTTAATCTCTTATCATGGAAATGGGTAATGTTAGTACTTTTGTCTTTTGACCTTCCTATTAGCTTTATAGGTGATTGATCCACCACTTTTACTGTTATATTTGCCTTTATCAGTGATTTTTTTTTCTTTGATAATTTTCTTATTCCTATTTGTGGCCTTTTCTTTTGCACTTAAATAAGTTCCTTTAACATTTCTTATAAGGTTGGTTTATTAATGATAAACTCCTTTAGGTTTTGCTTGTCTGGAAAACTCTTTATTTCTCCTTCCATTGTGAATATTAACCTTGCCAGGTAGTATTCTTGGCTGTGAGTTTTTTCCTTTCAGCACTTTGAATATATTGTGCCACTCCCTCCTAGTCTATAAGGGTTTTGCTGAGAAGTCAGCTGATAGCCTTATGGGGTTTCCTTTGTGTGTAACTTGTTGCCTTTCTTTTGTGGCTTTTAGGATTCTCTCTTTATCTTTAATTCTTGACATTTTAATTATAATGTGTCTTTGTGTGGGCCTCTTTGGGTTCATCTTGTTTGGTGCCCTCTGTGCTTCCTGTACCTGGATTTCTGTTTCCTTCCTTAGGTTAAGAAAGTTTTTAGCTATTATTTCTTCAAATAGATTCTCTGCTCCTTTGTCTCTCTCTTCTCATTCTGGGGCACCTATAATCTTGAGTTAGTATGCTTGAGATTGTCCCAGAGGTCCTTAGACTCTCCTCATTCTTTTTAATTCTTTGTTCTTTTATCTGTGCAGTTTGGGTGATTTCCTCTAGTCTTTCATCCAGCTCAGTGATCCTTCCTTCTGTGTCATCTTCTCTGCTGTTGATTCTCTCTAGTGAATTTTTCATTTCCATTATTGTATTCTTCAGTTCTGATTGGTTCCTTTTTATATTTTCCAATTCTTTTTTGAAGTTCTATGTTCATCTATTCTTCTCCCAGTATCAGTGAGCATCCTTATGACTATTAGTTTGTACTCTGTATCAGGTAGATTGTTTATCTCTGTTTCATTTAGTTCTTTTTCTGAGGATTTGTCCTTTTCCTTTGTTTGAAACATATTCCTTTGTCTCCTCATTTTGCCTCTTTCTCTGTGCTTGTATCTATGTAGTAGGTAGGTCAGCTACATCTCCCCGTCTTGGAGAGGTGGCCTCATCTAAGAGATGCCTTATGGGGCCCAGCAGTGTGCTTCCCTCTTGTCACCAGTTCCAAATGTTCCAGGAGTGTCCCCTGTGTGGGTTATATGTGCCCTTCTGTTGTGACAGGATTGCTCTTGCTGCAGGTGCCCTGGGGTTGGGGGCTAGCCTGTCCCCCTGGCCAGCTGGTTCTAAGTCTCAGCTGTGTGCAGCTTCTACAGTCACTTTAGTCACTTTATTGGGTGTGGGGAGCCCAAGCACAGCTGGCTGCAAGATCTAATAGCACTCACATGCTGCTGTTTTGCTGTTAAGTGAGTAGGCCCCCAGTGTGGCTGGTTGCTAGGCTCAGGGGCTCACAATTGCTGTAGGCCTCTGGCCTATGAGGCTGTTATCAGCTCTCTCAGGAGTGCAGCTGAGTGGGGCCAGCCCCAGGCGTGGCAGCACACAGTTATTTCAGGCATTGGAATGTGGGGCAGATCCTGCATGTCATTTGAGAAGGCCAGTGGCACAAGTCAGCTGCAGCCAACAAGCCCCACCACCCACAGGCCCACACACCCCATCAATGCAGTCCTGTTCTGCATGCATGCCCCACCCTGCCAAAGCAGACCCACTCACCCTTCTGCAGGGGTCCCACACAACCCGCCAGTGCAGGCCCACCCCTCACACACACCCTACCCGACCAAGGCAGACCCACTCACCCCACTGTAGAGGTCCTACATACCCACCTAAGTGGGTCTGCAAGTTCCCCGCACACTTCCTGGTGGGTGCAGCCAGTCCCTAGGGTGAGCTGCCTGTCCTAGCTGAGCTGGATTAAATCTGTGCTCTAGTGGATGGGGCCAACCCCTGTGCTAACAGACCAGGGGAAGAAATCCAATGGTGTCTGCCAGCATCTGTCTCAGCACACCTGTACTAGGTCACAGTAATGGCTGCCACCAGTGTCTCAGTCCCTGGGGAAGTGGGCCCAGCCACCTCCTGCCGCCCTGAAATGCACTCAGAGCTGATCAAGTGAGTCTCTTTTACCAAAGGACTGTGCACCTTTCTTTCTGGTGATTTTGTGTTGGTTTCCAGAATGGGTAATTCTGCATGTGGCCCTTTAAGAGCAGGCTTTTCTTTCTTTTATGTTCAGTAGTTTTTCTGTGTGTATTCTCCGTTAGTTTTAATAGCCAATAAAGCCAAGTGTTATGGCAGTCATCTCAGTTTTGCTGAATTCAAAGGCTGCTTATTGTGGCATAGATGTCCCACTCCTCCAGGAAAAGGTTTGCACCTTAAGATTGCTCCTACCTGTGAAGCACCGTGGCTGGAACATGGTTTTTTCCTCAGCAGAGGAGTATTTCTGCCTCTTCCACCCCTGTCAGTGTTGTCCCTTGTTGTGGGGATTCTCTTTATCCAGTTTCCAGTTCTCTCTCAGAGGTGATTGTTCCACAGGTAGTTGTAGATTTGTTGTGTCTGTGGGAGGAGGTGAGTTCAGAGTCGTCCTACACCACCATCTTCCCAGCAATACCTGACACCCAGCCTTTTAAAGCAGAAGGTGCTGAGTGTGAGGTCAGCTCCCTGTGTCTTGATGCTCTTAGCACCTGTTAGAAGAAGCCCGTATTTTTTCTGGGCTATCTTCCTAGTATTTTATGAGCTCCCCTCAGATTTCTTTTACCTTTAACATTATCTCCTACAGAGAGGCCTCAGAGAGTCGGGCAGCAGCCAGGTGACCCACCCAGGCAGAGTCTGGAACTGCCCAGTTTTTCTTGATAAGCTTATTTCTGTCATTGTTAATGAAAATTACTGTGTTTAGAGATTTAAACTGTTTGAAGTTTGCAAACTGCAACAGTCTTTGTAATGAGTCCATTCCTTAAATGTTTGTTGCTCCAGGCAGGGACAAACTCATCAGATTATTACAGAGCAAAGCCTATTTTTTCATTCATTCACTACGCACTTACTCCATGAGTGCCGTGTCCCTCACCTGGTGCTTTAGAACTAAAAAGATATTCAATCTACACATTTAAGGGTCCATAAGTTTAAAAAAATGTTTAAAAATTGTTCAAGAGAAGCCCAACTATTGCTAAAAACAAGTCTCTCCTCCTAGGAGGAGTTTCACAACGTGATGAACATTTTCACAACACCCCTGCAAGGGCCCTGGCATTTCTCCAGGGGCTGTTTCCCAAGATGCTTTGCAGAAAAAGAAGGTGGGGGTGACTAGAGGACGTCCGGGGAGTCCTGTGAGCACCTATGAGGAAAGTTGCATATGACCTCTGCATTAGTCTGGTCAGGCTGCCATAACAAAGTCCTGCAGACCAGGGGACTTAAATAACAGACATTTATTTCTCACAGTCCTGGAGGCTGGAAGTGTGAGATCAGGTGTCAGCAGGGGTGGTTTCTCCTGAGGCCTTTCTCGGCTTGTAGATGGCCATCTTCTCTCTGTGTCTTCACATGGACTCTGCTCTGTGTGTCCCCATGTCCTAATCTCTTCTTATGAGGACACTTGTCTTACTGGGTTAGAGCCCACCCTCATGACCTCATTTTAACTTAATTGCCTCTTTAAAGACCCTGTCTCCAAGTACAGTCACACTCTGAGGTGCTGGGGGTTAGGACTTCAGCAGATGAATGGGGTTGGAGGGACACAATTCAGCTTATGACAGCCTCTCTCCACAGTGCCCCACTTAGCTTCACAATGCACATGAGCATGTCACACTAAGATGTCCTCACAAATCATGACTGATGACGTTTAACTCCGTGTTTCCCAGTTATCTGGCCACAGAGCATCTCTCTCCCAGAACACCCATGAACCTTCCATTGGTAGCCAAGGGACACCCCTCAGAACCTGAAGTTCTGTGTGGAGGAGGAGGCAACATGACCGATGCACTATCCATGCAGAGCCACTAACCATACCTGGATATTTAAGTTTAAATTATTTAAAAGAAAACGAAAAATTCAGTCTCCCTGTCTCATCAGCGCGTAATCGTGGCTACCAGTATGGGCAGGGCAGATGTAGAACATTTCTGTTATTGCAGAAAGTTCCACTGGAAGGCACTGGTTTAGACCTTCATTTGTGGAAAATTGTACCCTGAATTCTGCTTCCAGTGGCTGTCATTTAAAGGTACGTCCTGTTTCAACTGAACTCTGAGCTTCTGTGGGCAGGAGATGAGCATCAGGTTCTCCAGCAGCGTGTTCAGGGTTTCGTCAGTCCCTACGGCTGTGTTCCTGTGTCACACGAACAGGACAGCCACCCCAAACCCTCCAGTCTTTGATCCAAGTGTTGCCTAAATTCTTCTCCAAAAATTAACGGGGTAGGGGCAGTGTTCCCCTGTATCCCTGGGTGTGGCGGCGAGAGCCCCACAGCACAGCCGGCTCTTTTCTTGCAGAGGATCAGCACGGCGACAGGGGATGGGAAACATTACTGCTACCCACACTTCACCTGCGCTGTGGACACGGAGAACATCCGCCGGGTGTTCAATGACTGCCGCGACATCATCCAGAGGATGCACCTCAAGCAGTACGAACTCTTGTGAGGCGGCCCCGGGGCTGGCCTTCTCAGGCCTCCCCAGCCGCCTCTCCTCTCTCGGCCACCGGACCAGGTGGAGCATTTATTCCAGAACTGCCTGTCAGACCCAAGCCATGGTAGAAAGTAGTGAGTTCCCAGTTTCCTCCAGCTGCCATGTGTCCTGCTCTGTGTTGGCTCCGTGTGTGTCCACCAAGCCTCTGGCTACCTCTGTCCCCCTCAGGTTTGGTTTGTAGCTTTTGTTTTCATTGAACACGGCCTTCCACGGCCTCCCCAGCTCCACCAACTTGTGTCACTGCAAACCGTCCATTCTCCCAAGGGAGAAATCTCTCTGGGTGGGGGCCCCTTTTATTCATCCATTCAGTGATTTATTGATTCATCAAGAACTTGATAGATGGGGGAGAAACGCATTTTTCTGAGTGACCAAGCGTGATTGTGGAGGCTTATGTATGATGTGGTGGGCCACACGCTTTCCAGTTTTGGCTTTAAACTGCAGGTGGCTGCCCCTTCTGATCTGTGTTGGCCCAAGACTTGAGTAGACCCCAAGCCTCAGAGTGGAGGGAAACCCTTTCTCAGTCATATTTAGAGTCACTGCCAGCCTCAGGCACCTGAATTAGACCTACTTTGAGCCTTTTACATTTAGGCAGAAAACCTGCCACATTCACTCCTGGGAAATGTGTCCTGGCTAAAAATGATTCTCTAGACATTCACGATGCTTGAGCAATAGTCTCCTTTCATATGTTCTTTTTGTTGTTTTATTCGTGGTTTATTATACTGTACAGACCACAAAATGTAATATTATTTTGTATAACTACTAAAGAAAAACCCTTGTAGATCTTTGTGCCTTGATTATGGCTGTACCTGTAAAAGACATGTGTTTTTATTGTGCTAAACAGCTAAATGTCACCATTACCTGCTGCTTGCTCAGAAAAGGGGAATGAATGGTATCTGTAGAATTTAGGATATTTTATCAGGTTGGTACTTTTAAAAATGCTCCTTGATAAAATATATATGTATATATAAATTATACACATTAATTACATCTTACAAACAATGCTGTACCAACATCATAAGTTTCTTTCAGGGAACCAAGGATATTTTCTCCCTCCAGACAATAGGTTTCTTGATTCCTTTGCTATTTAAAGCCTTTTCCAAGTTCCCTGAGTAGGACTAGGTCAACCATTCCCTTGCTCAAAGCTTTGAACCACTTACTTGACCACAGATTCGACTGTAAACAAATAGCAAGAAAAATACAAAAGGATGTCAGTGTTTGCGTCTGGCCCAGGAGAACCAAAGGATGGCATCTTCATCTGCCTTTTGAAGAAGAAACATTACAAAACCTTTATTTGAAATATAAAGTCAAAATATACATTATAAAACCTTTACTTGAAAAGCAAAGTAAAAATATATGGCTATTTCTCAAACTTGAAAGATTTGCAAATGCAGCCTCAAAAGTGCTGGTACAGTCCACTCTCTGGAGAGCAAGAAGCACCGGAGCAGTGATGGTTCATGTTCGAGCCACAGCCTCCGCTTCCAAGGTAGTTCTCTTAGGTCGAAAATAATCTGGAAAGATGTCCAAAATTATATTTCAACAATACAACTCCAGAGAAGTGACAACCTAGCCTACATTGCTTCATGAATTTCCTTTTACTCTTTTATTTAATAGTTTAAAGTTTACTCTATAAATCAGCATTGTATAATCCTTTATAAACTTATCCACATTTACTTCTCCATGAAAGAAAGGATAAGTTTATAGACAATGCAACAAACACATATTTTATCTCATTTTCACCAAATTCCTGTTCCTCTCATCCTTAACTGTTTCATAGAACTCTCAGTTGAACTGAGACAAAGTGGAAAATATTTTCAGTTTCCATTGCACTTTCAAAGTAAAACATGAAGAAAAACTGGAGATACACCCCCACACATACACAAAAAATGAAACTGTGTATTGTTACGTGCATTGTTACTCAACAACTCCCCTGTAACTATACCTCCTATTTAAAAGCTTAATTAAAGAGGGAGCCAGACACTTAGAGAAAACACAAAAAGAATACATTTGATCTGGCTTAAAATTATCAAGACATATTTACTTTTAAATACCAAAAGCCACTTCTAGTCCATTTTTCAGGTTTCTTTTAATCATTGACAGGCATTAAATTCAGATTTAACAACCTGGTCTGCTAGAGAGACAATTACACATATCTAAAAATCTGATTCCATTAATTTAGCACAGAAGTACAAAAGACTCTGAAAACAATTTATTCCTGCTTGTAGCATCTGTACTTTTATTTTGAGTGTACAGCTTATAGTATATAGGAATTTGAGAATCACGTCACAGGAAGATAGAAGCAATCCCATGGTCTGCGTCCGCCTAATCGCAAGCGTGTTCCGGGCTGCGGCTCCGTCTTGCGGAGGAAGGACTGTCTAGTGCATGCGAGTGATGCCATCGGTAGCTTTTACATCTTGTACAGAGATCATCTTTGATTATACATATATTTGATAAAATGAGAAAACAGACTTGTTGTAGAGGACGTGGTCCATTTTTATAGCATGAGAACAGTACAATCAACTATTCGTTCTGCAGTAGTTTGCATCAGTGATTTAGAAATTCTATGATGCGCATAAAGACAGCCTACTTTGGTCTCCTCTCACCTAAGCACTGCCCAAAGTTCAGTTTCTTTGGTTTTGATATTTATTACTGAATGCAAAAAGTCTCCTGCTCTTCATGTTGTCTTAAATTTCCTGAGCAGCTTCCAGCCAAGAACAAAAGGTGAGCCTAGAAGCCCGAGGTGAACTAAGATGAGGACCACAAGGAAGCCGGCCGCTCCGCAGTACACGGTCAGAACGGTGTGCTCGAACGGGAGGTAGCACTTGGCGAGCGCGTACTCTGTGGGCGTCATGCTGCCCTGGAAGGGAGAGGAGAAGGTTAGGCTGTGCTCAGAGCTCCGTGCACAGCTCCAGCTCACAGTCTGACTTAGAGACAGCAGAGGAAGGGCAGCCTCCTTGCCTTACTTGGTGAGGCAGGGAAGCGGCTCTCCTCACGGGACACTGTGGGGGCACGGCCCTCAGCCTGCACAAGCCACCACCCACCAACCACAAGCACTAGCGAGAGAAGGAAGTCCGAGTGTGCTGAGTGGCGACGGTCTGGGGCTGACCTCTCCGGTGAAACCAGCCCCTGGCACAGTCACGCCTCTAAAAGAGAGTGAGCACATGCGAGAGACGCAGAGAGGCCTGGAGATGTAGATCAATGGTCATCGAGGGACAAGGAGTACTAGGCTATTTTCATGCCGTTGAGGCTAAAATAAGCACTCTGTGACCTAGAAATACATGTGCCAGGGGCATCTCGGTGGGCTTTTTTCTTCTTTGGCAGACATTTTTGCTATGTGGGATGACAGTGGCGAATGTTTTCATTCACTTTGCATTTGAAAACATGAGTTTTTCCCCATCTTTTTAAAAGTAAAAGTACCTGACAGAAAAGCATTGTGAACTGGATGCTGGGACCATGGGTAAAAGAAAGCAGCTGAAACATCAGGCGGCCGCTAAGTGAAACAACACCTCTGATCACCTTGCAGGAGTGGTAGCATTGTTCTGCCAGGGCAGATGCACATGCTGGGAAAACAAGGTGACTGAGTGCAGCTAATGACGAAACGATCCTGGCTCCCTAGAGGATCACACGCACGGAGCCTAAGATCAAAGGACGCTGCTGTCCCTGAGGGAGCAAACGCTGTAAGACGCCCCTCCCCTCGGGCCTCCAGTAATAAAGACATGTTTACTTGTCCCCAGAGCGGTGTTGAGACAGAGGGCAGTGTGTCAAGCTCAGTGTGCGTGTGGAGTGGGGGGAGTTTATTTATGGCTTTGGCATATTTTTACAGATTGCAGCAATTAAATAGTTGATTACTGTGTTGACTTAAATACTTATGAAAGCTTTCTGATGAAAATAAATGTTCACATTACCATGATGAAGCTGGGGTTGTTTCTGTTCCTCCAACTGAAAGACGGCACGCTGAGCTCGGGGGTCCCGGCCCCGTGGAGCACCTCGCAGGCGCTGTGCGTGTGGCCACTCAGGACCAGGCGCGGCCGGAGCCACCACAGCAGCTGTCGCGCCCAGGGGACAGCAGCAGACAGTTAGTGCTTGGAGGGAGCCCTGACAGGGCCCAAAGCCAGGCCGTCGCTGATGTCCTTAAGTTAAACGTGAAATCCCTACCGGGTAGGATGCTTTATGTTTTCCTTGAAATCCTCCACTTTGTTTAGACTCTGTCAAAACTAAGTTCAGGCTCTCAGGGAGAATCTATTCTTCTTACCCCCGATTTTATATTTTTTAAATCTATTTTATCTTTATAAATATTTTTATAAACTTATCTCATAAACATATTTATAATTTATTTTACATAAATATGTTACATTATATATTATATAAATATTTATTTAAGGAAGCACATTTTAATTAAGTCCCTAGAAATTTAACTGTAAGTTCCATTCACATTTCCAAATACATTTAAGTTAGTGGGAAAACTTTGAATAAAGAATAACTGAGAATATTATTAACTCAATATTAGGAAATAGAAGTGGATTTACTATGGGGGGGGGAAGAAAACGATGACGTGAAAATCTGAGATACTGCCAACACCCTCCCCTCCGTCCTCAGGTCAGTAACTGTGAAGGTCATCTGTTTGCTGGTCAGCAGCCGGGACAGGAGCAAACCTTTTGTGAGGCCTCCCGAGAAAGCACGTCGTATCTCTCCTTAAAGGGGATGTCCCTTTCATCTGCAGGGGCCGCATCCTCCCCGGAACAGTTAGCATCGCTTCTCCGGTAAAGTGGAAAATGCTGCCCAGGGTTTAAAGAGGAGTCAGGTGTGACTTCATGAGGCCCTGGGTGGTGCTGCCAAATACTGGGGCCACTTTCTCCCCCGCTCACCTGCACAAGGACTGGGGCTGACGCTGGCAGTGGCGGTCCATCTCCACACCGGCTGGAGCGATGCTCCTGCTGGTCAAACATCAGTTAACCTGGGAAACCCAGCCTGCACTGAGTGGTAGGAAGGGCAGAGGGAGCTGAGAGGTGCACAGAAGCACCAAGGGTGCCTACTGGCTGTGCTCAGAAGACGCAGGAACAGAGGGCACCTGTGCTGTTCGGAGGATCTCCTACCTCTCGGGAGCAATTCAGTTTGTGAGAAATTTCGATGAGTTCAGCTTCCGCTTCAGAGCAGATGTTGCAGCTGTCCCCTTCCAGTGCGACACTGTTGACCATCACAAAGCTGAGGCAGATGGGAGCAAGAGTCAGGGCCACTGGGCTTCCCGTGGATCGTCTGCTCGCAACATTGTTCCCGTGGAACAAAAGCTAAGCATCCACAGTAGGAAGAAATACGGCCCAGAACAGCTTTAAATCTCAACTAATCTGTGTTTTTAGGCATGAATTGATACTAAGACAACAAAATAGCATTCCTGGGAGTGGAGTCCAGGATACGGTAAAAGGATTTTTAACCCTGAACTTGTGAAAAATCCCAGATTACAGAAGCTCTGAGGTCAGACTACCACTACTCAGCATCTAACTACATGTCTGTGCCTCATCTGTAAAATAGGGATGTAACAGTACACCCACGCCATCAGCTCATTGTGAGGATAAAGGCAATACTACAACACAAGAGAGCCTGCCACTGGAAAGGACTCAGTAAGTGTTAGATCCTGTTATCACCAAGTAAAGTGAACTGCGGGCGCGGGCACGGTTCAGTGACATCCACACACTCAGCAAACATAACAGGGCGGGGGTGGGTGGGCATTAGAGCTAACTGGTTTGGATAATCCCAAACTAGATAATAACAAAGTCAGGTATCCTTTGCAATCACTTTACCTTAATTGTATTTTTATAGACTCCCATTAAATACGCTTTTATTTCCTACACATCTATAAACTGGGCATGAAGAAGGTACCTATTGGTAAATATTGGTTGAAATTTAAAGAATTTTAGAGATGAGGAGCTCACCAATCAAATGATCTGAAATATAAGTGTGTTTCCAGTTTCTTAAACTCTCTGCCTTGGGAGAGAGATAACTCAAACTGTGTCAAGTCTCCGCCTGACTTAGGAAGGAGGCTACTAGGGACTCGCCCTACAGACAAAGGGAGGGACGGCATGAGCATCTTTGGAGAACCCACTGCATTTTGGTCTCTGGGAGCTTCAAACAGGTTGTCTCAGTTGACGGGCCTAGTGAGCTGCTACGGCACAAGTCAGCGGGGTACCAGGCACCCGCAGGAAGGATATGATCAAAATAGAAAAAAACCTCCTCTCCCCCCTTTTCCTCCTCCACTAGGTCTGCAACTAGAATAGTGTGTATGGTCTTGTTCACTGTGCTGCCAAAACACACACGGACCAGAAAGAATCCAGAGAAGGATATGGAAATGGCCACACAGAGGGGGAACTGGTGCCGATGGCGAGACTGCAGGGTTAGGATGCTTTGATCTAAAAACCAGGGCTGATGGAAGTTGGGGGTGGGTGCATAGCTACAGAGCATGATGAACACACTTGCCACCAAATCCTAGGACACCATAACCACAGGAACATCCTTTATAAAGGAAAATCAGTACATTTTGAATAAATAAAAAATACTCCTTTACAAAATGAGATGATGAAATTTCCATCACCCAGAGACAGCACAGACAGAGAGAACAAAATTCCCTCCGTGGCTAGACAAAGTCATAGACTAACCAATTCACTGTGGGTTGTTAGGGAAAACCACAGTGACAACTCCAATGGTGACCATCAGCGAGGACAGCCTGAGGTACTTTATTCAGAGACCGTAAACCAAGCCAGACAGAGCATGAGTTTGACCCGGTATGGCAGTCACCCTCGAAGAATTGAGTTTCCAAGGACTAAAGGTCTTCATAAGAATTCACAAATAATACTCACTTAATTCCTTTCCAAGAAAACAGCCTTTCAGGGTTGAAAACCTTCTCAAATCGTTTTATTTTATATGTATTCATCCTACATTCAATTGTAGAAAGAAACATTTTTCAGAACAATCCATTTTAGAACCTCTTAAGAATTATCTAGAACATGGAAAATGACTTTCAGGATTTGAGTGCCAGCCTTGCATTGTTAATTCAGAGCTCCAGCTGGCCCCAGGCTATCAAGGTGCAACTCTCAGCTCCACTACTGACTAACCACGAGGCCTGGGGCAATTGACTTAGTCCCCGGGGCCTCAGTTTTCCCATTGGTACGATGGATAAAATAATCAGGTCGTGGTAAAGATTGCATGAGATAATATATGGAAGTAAAGTGCTTAAAACAGGTTAGCACATCATAAGCACTATATAAATACTAGCTATTAAAGTCTAAATTGTCTTGTTTCCTGATTCCCAAAGAAAATAATTGCCATTAAATGAAAGTTTCAAGTTAGAATCACCCAAGGGCACATACAAATCATTCATTAAACAGAGATTTGTTGAGAATGTACAATGCACCAAGAGAGAAATCCTTGCCTTCATGGAGCTTACATCCCAGAGCTCATGTCTTTCAAGGAATACAAATTTCCTCCATACAGCACAAATAAGGCTTTCGCCTGAGTTATAGCAGGCTTAAAGTCATAGTTACCAAAGCTTTCGTGGTGCAATGCTTTAGTGAACTACTTACTGGTAGTGGAAGCCAATGTCATGGTTGCCAGCAACTACCTTCAGCTGCACATGCTGTGGGTGTCTGAACATTTTCTGAAACCGCTTGACATCGTCTGCCCAGGCCTGTGACAGAAAAGGGTCACTGCTGAGACCCAAAGAACCTTCTCTTCTCTGTGGCTAAAAAAATGCTCCCTATTTTGAAGGTGAGAAGTTAATTCCCCCGTCCAAATCAGATGTTCATAAAGCTAATGCAGAACTTACTTAGAATTTCTAATTCTATGTCATACTTTTTTCCAAGACTAACAATATTTTAATTATTTAATTTCATGATAAACTTTGATTAAACGGTATCCTCCCATCTTAAAACATTCACTGGTATCCTCAAAATATTTGGTTCATACACCTATTATTTCAAAATCCCCTTAAGACCGTGCATGGAGCCCAGGTTGAGAATCACTTCAGATCTGGACATGTTATAAGAACAGGTTCTGAGGAAATGTCAAGCAAATTCTCGTGTCTCAACCAAGATAAGTATGAGCACGTCCCTCAGCATTGGCATTTCCCTGTGACTACGACTGTGGGCATGAGAACTGATGACACATGGGAGAAAGACAGACAAAATCCAACAAATATTTCAAGATTATTCTGACATTTGCTTTAACAATTAAAGCTTGAGAATTGTGTTCATATAGTTCTTATTTTTATTAAGCCAAAAACATCAACTGGACAAACACTCTAGGGTAGATAATACCTAGTTAAATAATAATCAACCTAAAACTTTTAAATCTGGCCTAACCTGGGAAACACACTGGATAGAGAATCCTTCAATACATTTACACAGACTTCACTTTAACAAATAATATTTAAAGTCGGAATAACATAAAATCAGAATATAAGCTTAGAAAAACGCAAAAACAAACTGTTGCCCTTAATTTGCAAAAGCAACATATATATACAACCTCATTTTATAACAAGTTGCTTTTTACATATAGCATGTCCATGATCTCCTATTTAATTATGGACTAGATTATAACAAACATGCAATCCTATAAACTGTCGGTTTCTGTCATATTTGGACTAAGACTTTCTTCGTACAGCTTTTGGATTGTCCTGGGAAATGCCAATGAATTTTTTTTATTGTCTTCCAAAAACTATTAGTAACTGAACATTTTTAACTAAGTAGCAAGAATAGCTCTTTTTTTTTTTTCATTAATTTCGGGAATGTAATAAGCAAAGCATTCTGAAAGCAAAGGTGAAAACAGCCTTTCTCTTCTTTTTGTGGAAAGGCTCACATCACCTCATCACCCAGGCAGAGGTGAAGCGCCTGCTGAAGGCAGAGGAACCTCATGCCAAGGCTACTTGGCTCCTTCGACACCTCTCCCTCAGAAGAAAGAAACTAAGAGGAGATGAGCAAACACCTTTTGTAGCACAATTCTCATAATTCAGTGGCTGGATGAAAGTATAAAGTCAAGTTACATTTCAATATGTATTCTGTAATTCTGGTGACAAATGAAATAGCATCCATCTTGCCTAATTTTTCCTTTTCTAGAGCGGTTCATGGGAACATGCATTCCAACAAAGTGATGTCTGGCTAATCCACACACTGCCTACATAGACAAATCAAGAGCCAATCTAACTCAAGATTGGTGTTAGACACAGACCCTAGTGATCTTCAAGACAGACTATACATTTTTAATACTGGTACTAAGTAAAACTTCCAACCCTAGCTGATATTGATTCATGGATTCTCTGGGCTGCCTGTGCCGGAGCCTCAAAGCAGGATTAGGGTGCCTGGATCACACTCACCTGGGAGGAGCTCCACTTTCCTTCATCAAAGATGTCCCCCAGAATGAAGATGACTTCTGGCTGCAGCAACCACAGAGCCGTCTGGAAGGCTCTCTCCATTTGCCATTCCCTTGAGGACAACAGGAAAACGTACGGCATCAGTCTGTTTCTTGGGTGGTGCTTACTATTGTCTTATGGGCCATTTAAAAAGTTAACTAAATGATCCCATTTTCCTTTCATGGCCCCACCCATGCATTCCCATCCTCTGCTTGGAAGGGCCAGAGTCTATATCCAATAAAATGTGGGGAACAAAGGCACCAAAGGAGAATAGGGCTGTCCCTCCCACACATCACCCCTATGTAGTACCCGCACATCAGGCACACCAAAGCCATCACTCAGTCATGAGAGCCCCAGAGGTCTGAGAGAGCTTAATGCAGCTTCCAAAGATGCCCATTGTGGACTAATTGTGTACCACATCGAGGAGATGATAGCATCTGGCTTAAGTTTCACTTCTTGAAGGGACCTCAACTTCCTTCCTGCCTTCAGAGTTGGGGGGAATCAGTGACAGAAACAGAGTAGCCAATATCAAAACTATACATCCTTTAGGCTTCAGACATACAAGTAGTCATCCTGTAGGTAAGACAAGCAAATGGAAAGAGCCTGGGATCTGGAACCTGAGAGGCAATGGCTTAACACCCCAGCTCCACTCTCTAACCAGTTGTGTGGCCTCGAGAATATGGCCTAGTCTCTCCGAATCCTAGTTTCTTCATTGACAAATGGAGATAATAAAAGCTACTTTCACAAGATAGTTATGGGATTCAAAGAGACAGTATTTGTAAAGTGCCCAGCACAGCACCAGCACACAGTAGGTGTTCAAAAATATCAATGCTTTCTCAACCCTTCCTCTTCTCTCTAACCAACTATGACCTATGTCATTTTCCTAAGGATCCCAATTCTTCCTCCTTTTTAAGGGATGCTCCTGGCTGCTTCTCCCCTACGAAAGAGCAACGTTACGTCATGGGGCATATAAGAAGGGGAAGGTAATTTCTGGTTAGAGGAGACTTTTTCAGCCCCCACCTAAAGCGCTGCATGTACACATCTTCACTCAGGATACCTCTCAAAACACGTTTCTCAGTTTTTCTTTTTTAATGTTATTCACCCTGCAGAAGACAACACCTGAAAACACCAGCAGCAAGAGGGCAGAGAGGACCGCTTGGGACTGGTCATAAATAAAGCTCAGTTTGTAAGGCTCAAACAAAGCCAAAAGAACCCAAGTCTCACCCTGGCCCTTCTCTAGCTCACACATCTTCTGGTTCAAAACTCTGAGTGAAAACATAGAGCAGCCCCTCCATCTTCCCGTCTTTCATCTTGCCCTTTTCACCCACCCCTGGGACATTACGAATTTCACCCTCCCACCTGACATAAAGTTCATCCATATCCACAGCATTCTGAAGAGGTTCTGACTCACAAGAATACAGACCTGTTCAGAGAGGCACAAGTGAAGCCATGGTGAGGAACAGGGGTCAGGGTGCCCGGTCAGCAGGGGCAAGAAGGGGGCTCTGCTGACGGTGGTTGAAAGCCCCCATCAGTCACCTCTTGGACATTATTCACAATGGCCAAAAGGTGGAAGCAACCCAAATGCCCATCGACTGGTGAATGGATAAACAAAATGCGGTCTATACACACAATGGAATATTATTCAGCACTAAAAAGGAAGGAAATTCTAACACATACCACAACATGGGTGAACCTGGAGGACATTATGCCAATTGAACTAGGCCAGACACTGGGGCCGGCCCGGTGGCACAGCGGTTAAGTTTGCACATTTCACTTCAGCAGCCAGGGGTTCACCGGTTTGGATCCCGGGTGCAGACATGGCACAGCTTGGCACGCCATGTTGTGGTAGGCGTCCCACATATAAAGTAGAGGAAGATGGGCATGGAGGTTAGCTCAGGGCCAGTCTTCCTCAGCAAAAAGAGGAGGATTGGCAGCAGTTAGCTCAGGGCTAATCTTCCTCAAAAAAAGAAAAAATAGGCAAGACACAAAAGGACAAATACAGTAATGATTCCACTTATATGAGGGAACTAGAGTAGTCAAATTCATAGAGACAGAAAGTAGAAGGGTGGCGGCCAGGAGCTGTGGGGAGGGGGATTGGGGAGTTAGTGTTTCATGGGGACAGAGTTTCCGTTTGGGATGATGAAAAAGTTCTGGAGATGGATGGTGGTGATGGTTGCACAACAATGTGACTGTACTTAACGCCACTGAGCTGTACATTTTTTTTTTTTTTTTTTTGAGGAAGATTAGCCCTGAGCTAACATCTGCTGCCAATCCTCCTCTTTTTGCTGAGGAAGACTGGCCTTGAGCTCACATTGTGACCATCTCCCTCTACTTTATATGTGGGACATCTGCCACAGCATGGCTTGCCAAGGGGTGCCATGTCCACACCCAGGATCTGAACCAGCAAACCCAGGGCTGCCGAAGCAGAGTGTGCACGCTTAACAGCTGTGCCACGGGGCTGGCCCCTCTGAGCTGTATACTTTTAAATGCTTGAGATGGTAACTTTTATGTTATGTGTATTTTACTACAATTAAAAATAATTTTTTAAAAAGTCTTCTGGTGGGAAAACAGACAGTCTATGCTGGGCAGCTCTAGGCTGGAGAGACCAGACCTGATCCTCTCCCCGGGAGACAGCCACAAGTCTGCTCTGCTCCTCCTGGCACCCAGAGCAGGCAAAACCCAAGTGGGCTCAAAATGACACACCAGTGACTGTGGGAGGGGGCCACCAACCCAGCTCTGTTTCCTCCTCTGCCCAGGGGAAAGGGAAACCTACCTCCGCTGACCACGCCCATGTGCCGGGCACTGCTGTGAGCATTCTCTTCACACAGCCTGTGAAATCCTCATATTAACCCAGTTACAAACAAGGAGCAGAGAGAGGCTCCGAGGGGCCTAGTAACTTGCCCAAAGTCACAAGTCTCAAACCCAAACCTGCCTCCTGAATTCCAGGTCCTTGTATATAATAGATGCTCAGTAAACAGTAAGTTCAAGGGAAAGTCAAATGCCCCATATGTCCTTCTTTGAGAGGAAAATAACTAATGACTCCTCATTAACTCAACAACTAATGAAGCCATTAAGCCTGACCTATGGAGAGAGGGTTATACTTTTTTGCTTACAGAATTTCAGAAAGATTCCTGATTTGGGCTCCTACCTTCGTAATTTGTCTAGCCAGTGGCCTCTTACTTCCCCAAGCAAGTGGGTATCAGCCAAAAACATGGCTTTCAGCACAGGGTCAAGAGTCTCTTGTTTGCCATCATAGGCTGGAGTTTTCACCTCAGGCCAATTACACCGAAAGATCACTACATAATAGATTAAAAATTCACAAAATAGAAGCACGGCAAAGACAACAGCTATGAGCTTCAACAGCAAGAAACTCCTCTTCTTTAACAGACAGAAATTCTGCCTTCCAAACCACAGTCTGATTGTAGCCATTTCTCCTGCCCAGAAGTTGCCAGCAACCAACTCAAATCCATCAATAATTCACCACGAGAAAACTGTAGAATCCTGGGTGAGGTGCAGATGGTGTCCAGGTCTTAGCCATGTACCTACAGGGAGAAGGGAAAAGATTGGGTTATGTTCCTTAATAATGCCACTGTCGGGGCCAGCCCGGTGGCATAGTGGTTAAGTTCATGCACCCTACTTTGGCGGCCTAGGATTTGCGGGTTCAGATCCCAGGCGTTGGACCTACACACCACTCATCAAGCCGTGCTGTAGTAGCGTCCCACATACAAAGTAGAGGAAGACTGGCAAGCATGTTAGCTCAGGGCCAATCTTCCTCACCAAAAAATAATAATGCCACTATCACCAGCTCCCTCTATTAAGAACTCATGAGTTAAGAATCCTATCTATAGTCCCAAATAAATTGTCCTGCACTTTTACGATGATAATATGTCAGATTACTGATAAGGAAAACAATTGGTTTCCTCGGAGGTCTCTATATGCCAGAATAACGCTATTAGAATTATATCCCTACTAAGATGATAAAGCTTTATTACCACTTTGGAAATCATTAGATGGGAATCTATATCCATCAGAAGGATGTTAAGGTAGGAGACATAAGAGGAAAAGTCCACAAATAGGATGTTGGTGTAATTTGACTCCCAAAGGATTCCCTACCACCCCTCCTGGATGTTAAACATCAACAAGTCATAAGCCCCCTGTAATGTGTTGCCTTTGGTGTGAGTTCATCACTTTTCCATACTCTTTTCCACAAAAGAAGTGAATATTCACGGACAATGGGCTTCAGAGATCTGAGCACTGCATTCCACTCCGGGTCAGAGGCCGGGGCTGACGGAGCCACCATCTGTGACCACTGCCAGCAGATTATATATGTTTTCACAAAAGTGGGTTTTCACCCACAAATTAGCCTTAAAACTCTGGCCAGCCGTCTTTTATAAGACATTTACCTGCAGGGCTTTCTCTATAGGAACCTTTAAAATGTTTGTGGATTCATCTGAATCGAAGATGAACTTTGCATCCTATAAAGAAAGCATCTATTTTTGACACATCTGAAGAGAAAGGTTGGTAAAAGGATGGCCTGAGATAGGCCATAAGATGTAGCATTCTGCTTAAGGTTCCTCAACTGACGCTCAAGACAAGAATCTTAAAATAGGTGGTGACCTGGAGGCTACCGAACTCAGACAGGGGAGAAGCTCCAGAAGTCTTGCAGGGGGTGGGGGCTGTGAGAGACCCTGGCCACACATCCTAATTGAGCCAATAAAGAAAGAAAATCCTTTTCTAAGGAGATGACTTTCTAAGATGAATCTAGGAAACTTCATATGGTTGATAGGCAAGGAGTCAAGAACACTCTCATTTCTATAGGAGTTAAAATAATCCCTGTGAAATTTAGTTTCCAGAACTATTCACATCTGCACATCCAAGTCCCTATAAAGACCCTAGCTTACTTCACAGTGGTGTTCTGTCATAAGCAACCATTCAGATATAGACAATTTCTAAAACCTTACCTAAAGAAAAAGAAATAGGAGTGAACATGTATTTTGAGCCATTATCAAAAGTCTAAAACATAACCCCAGAAGTGGAAATACCTTCAGAAAGTGATAAATGAGGAAACCTCTTCGTGACTATTCAAATGTGGCGCTGGCAATTGTTATGCTGTAGTCTTAAGTACTTACTTCCATTTGTGGTTTTTAGGAAGAAGGTGAAATGACAGCATAGGAGTGAAATAAATGGCACTATGCCTCAAGTCTTCATCCTTCCTCTGTCTGCACTGGAATGGCATTATTTATCTTAAGTTCTTGATTAAAGAGGGAACAGTATACAGAACAGTGCTAGATTTTAAATACAGCTGGCCCTCCATATTTACGGTTTTCACATCCCCGGATTCAACCAATCCTGAATGGAAAAGCCCACGATGGTTGTGTCTGTACTGAACATGTATAGACATTTTTTTCTTGTCATTATTCTCTAAACAATACAGTATAACTATTTACATGGCATTTACATTGTAATAGGTATTATGAGTAGTATAGAGATTATTTAAAGTATACGAGAGGATGTGTATAGGTTAAATGCAAATTCTACACCATTTTATATAAGGGATTTCAGCATCCATGGATTTTTATATCCGCAGGGGGTCCTGGAGCCAATCCCCCACAGATACTGAGGGATGACTGTATGTCCTTTCAGATAAAGAGGTCAAAAGCAGCCTCACATGTAATCTGGGATCAACTGCTCTTACTGGAATTGTACTCAGAAAATCCACAATATCTTTATCAACTGGGTATGGATCATCAGTGATCGAATACCATACAAAATTCTCTTTACTTAGAACTTCCTTGCCACCTCTGTTTTCTCTAAGGTTGAACCACATGTGCCACATAACTAGAATCACCATATACTTTATATTCCAACCAGGGACAACTTTGAGAGTCAAAAGTGGCTCTAATGATAATAAAAACAAGGCAATGATGGAAACCAGGACTATTTTAGGCAACTCAGGATGTGTAGTCACCCTCTGCATAACTCTACCCCATAAGGCTAGCACTTAATCAGATGAAAATGAGGAAAACATAACAATACTTTTTTGCTGCTATCCATCAGTCTGCAATCAAACTTTAGAATAATTGTACAAATGCTGTTAGTAACCATTCACCAGTGTGGCTAAGAGTATGGACTCTCTCCTTGGCTAATATTCATAAAAGAGAAAAAAGAGAGACACTCTAAGGGATAATGAATATATTCCTTAAAACCATCTAATTTCCTTTGTTTTGACGCAATCTAATATATCAAAAGCAACCATTCGATCTTACTATCTCATTTTCTTTCAAGAGGCCTAGAATCTCCCAAACCCTAAAAGCTAAGGCCAAAAAAGCAGTTGAAACCTCCTAAAACCTTAATATTTCCTCAGACCACAGAGGACTAGCTGAGAACAATGGAACCACAACCTTCTAGGGTTGGATGTAGGGTTCTTCTAGTATGCAAACCCTTGCTCCTTATAGGTTCCAAGTTTCCCAGGATGAAAACCAGAATGACAACTTGATAACTGCTTTTCTACACCCACTTCTGTGAATCAGAGAGAACCTTGTTTCATTAGTGATGACTAAGATCTTGGAACAAGCAAGAGAGGAGTGGCCTGGAAACAAGGAAAGTGGACATGCCCTGGTAAGCGCAGCCCAGGGTAGGGTTCAGTGGTTGGACAGGACACAAAACTATGGTCCTCCAGCTTCTCTGGACCAAAAGAGAGCAGGGTGGATGACATGGAGAGACAAGCCATGGGTATGCACTCACAGGCAACAGGAGCTCTCTCTGACCTGATTCCCTGATTCCTGTGTCCATTTGATTCTGCTGAGCCCACTCAGGATGGCCTCACCTCCAGGCTGACTGCTGTGTAAACAGGACTAATTAGTCAGTTCAGATAAGGAGGGCGGAGCAAACAAACCAAAGGTTAGGGAGCCCTGCCCTTCCCTCAAATGTCTATGTTCTTTTTTCTACAAAGAAATAAAAAATATTCTCCACAGAGCCATTCAGATAGAGGAGTTGCTAAGAAAGAAGGAAGGAGGGAAGAAGGAAGGGAGGAGAAGGAGGGAATGTGGGAAGGAGGAAAGGAGGGGAAGAAGGGAAAAAAATAGAGGGAGAGCAAGGAAGCTAACTGGTGCTGTCACAGATTTTCTTGAGAAAACCCTAAGACCATGTGAATCAGCTCTCTGGTATAATGTGATCATTTTTAAAAAACAGAACTCCTCATCAGAGTGAAAACCCTATTTGACAACTTCTGACACCAAATCCTCACACTGACTTCTTTTTGCTCAAATCTTGGAAAACTACCGTTTTTCCTCTATTCAAAACTCTTTGTATTACTCATCAAATTAGGTATTTCCAATATTGTCTTCAACGTTATGGCCAAAGTACATCCCTTTTACCTTCTGAAATGAACAGAGTAATTTTTAGGGCTGATGGGGGTGGAGGAAGGGATCCATTCTCTCCCTAGAAATGGCACAGCAAGGCCACCATGCCAGGCACCATCTGAAACCAAACATTAGGTAATGAGATGTCACTCCTACCTGACGGCTGCTTCCAGAGGGGTATAAAGGGACCTTCTCCTTGTGCTCACTTCTTGCACTAAGTCTGAAGCCAACGTCAGGGACAGAAGTGCTTCCTCATTTTTGGACACAGCTGAAGGAAACTTGCTAACCACAAGCAATTGGGAGCCATGGAGACAGTCCTACCACCGGGACAGACATGCACAAACTGAGCCTGCCCTTCTTGGCAGGAAAGGGGAAAACCTAAGAGCTCTATGGGTAATTAGCAGTTCTTGTTCCTCTTCCACTATTTTATCCTGTTATGAATACCCACCCAGGCAGAGCAGCAGGGTTGAAATAAAAAGAACCCAATCTGCAGCTCTGCTCTGTGACCTTGGGCAGGCCACCTATCCTTTCTGAGCCTCATATTGGGGATCACAGTACTACCTCCACTGATGTCATGGAGATTGACAGAAATAATCTTTTTTAAAAAAAGTAAATCCTGAGTGACATGGTGAAGTGAGGTCACCGGGGACTCTATCCACTCCAAATTACCACCAAAAGGAGCAACTGCATTCCAACCAAAAAAATCCTAATAACACAGAAATCATCAGAGACCCACAGTGGTCAAACTACGAGGGTGGAGAAGCTGGACCTGCCCTCGGAGGAGATGGAACAGGGTTAGAGAGAACTTCGCTCCCTCCCCTAGAGAAGGGGATCCCTGCCTTGGGTGAGGGAAGGAGCGAGAGAGGGGCCCGCACATTAGGGGGATCGTCCAGGACTCCCACAGAGTGTGTGGTAGAAACCCTCTAATGAGGGAAAGCTTTCCCATGGGGGAAGCCCAACAAGCCACGACCCAGGAAACCAGGGAGTGAGAACAGATCGGAGTCCAGGTCTGCACAGGAGAGAAAAGGCCCCTCCTCCCCTAACCCATGCTGTGCACTGCCATTGTGGCTGAAGGCAGAGGGCTCAGAACACGTGGCTCTCCACCCCTGCCTAGTGGCACAGGCTGTAACAGCAACCGAATAATAGCATTATGTGCAAAAATCACTCCTCTAACATCCAGC